ATGCGAAGACTCATGACACCAAAAAATGTAAAGTACAAGGAACTTACTTGGACGATAAGGTCCATCCCGCCGTCGTAGATCCTGACGGGGCCAAGCTTTTTCAGATAAGACCGGTCCTCGACCGGGACAGCTTGAGCAAACACATCATGGCCGTCAACGGCGTCATTAAAGATGCCACCCTTCATAGGGTACTCGACTTCGAGCTTGTAAGTCCCAACGGCCAGCTCCTTTCCGGCCCTCTTTTTCCGGGAATATTGTCCGACAGGGGGCGGCTGGGACATGGCAGTCGACGAGGGGACTGAAACCTCATCAACAACGGCAACGGCATTGGAGCCCCCAGCATCATCGGCCGACATGGTCAAAACCCCGGCGTCAGCATCAGCCAAATGGGAAGCTCTCTTCGTCTTCTGAGGCTGCATACCAGCCTCGGTCAGCTTCCTCTGGTCGTCATCCACTGGCCGTTTCTTCTTCGGCTGCGTGGGCGACTTCTTCGGCGCATCTGAGCTCGGCTGCGCGCCACTAGCAGTGGCCAGCTTTGCGGCCTCCTTGGCGGCCATCTCCTCCTTCGCCTTCGCTTTCGCAAGGGCCATAACGGATCTGTGGTCCATTACAAAGTCTGCATAACAAGGAAAACAGTTAGCAAAGAGGATAAACAAAACTAAGACAAGGACGCCATGGAGGGTATTACCATCAGCATCGGCGGGCACACCCAAATCCGGGCCATCGGCCTCCTCAAAAGTGGTGGTCATCCTCGGCCATATCTCGGTGTCACTCTCCTTGTCACCATAGACGAAATACCTGAAGAAGCCGAGGGCGGTCATCTTATACTCCGTTATGTACTCTTTCACGCTCCTCGGCCCTCCTTTCAAAAATGCCGCCACCTGGGCATCCAAAATGCTACTCTTCGGCACATCATGGAGGCTAAATCTCCCGTCATGGCCGACGGAGGGAAATTCGGTGCCGCCCTCGCCCAACGACGCAAAGACGAACTTGCTTTTCGAACCATGGATGGACGAAGGAAGGTCGGTAAAGCTCCTCTTCTTCGGCAGCTGTTGAAGATTGGCATAGCCGGCACAATTCTTGTGGCTCCCTCGGCCGATCTGGTATAAATTCATAAAGAGAGCCGTCGTCGGCCTAAAGTCAAACTCATCGCAGTGGAGGAGGAAGTCAACTATGAGTGAATAGCTGTTCGGGGTCAGCAAGGCCGGAGGGAGACCCACCATGTCCAGGTACTCCGTGATGAACGGATGAAGGGGAAATCTAAGCCCCTTGGCAAAGCTCATGGGGTATACTCCAAAGTACCTCGGTGGTGGATTCAGCACGTGGTCCGTCGGCTTGGGGGCCCTAACCCTTCCATACCGCCCCACATACATCTGGGCCACCAGGTAATCAGCTGCGCTGCTCTCCGGCTTGATCAGATAAATGTTCGTGAGGTCCAGGTAGGAGTAACCTGGACCCTTCTTCGGCCGACGCCTTCTCGTCGGGGCAGCCCCCTTCACAGCAGAAACCGGCTTCGGGCAGGGAATTGCAGCTGAGGTAGATATTCCGTCCACAACGTGGGAGACCACTACGTCCTCACCGTCAGACGACGAGGCGGCCTCTTCGTCTTCACTTTCGCTACCCTCCTGCTCCCCTGATTTGAAGGAGCTTAGGTCCTCTATCTCCTCGCAACACTCCTCTACTACCCGGTAATCAAGGGATTTAGCGGAGGGCTCATCGTCATAAGGGTAGTATTCGTCGTCCAAAGGCTTCATCATAGCAACTAGCTAAGGCCTTAAGGGGATTACCTTGGATCTAAGGGTGATTCTCCACTAACACTATATCAAGGCCCTAGGAAAGCAAAGTATGCAAGAAATCGGAGGAAAGTGTGATGAACTGAACTTTGAATGTTTGAAGTCTTGAAGAACAATCGAACAAGCCTTTATCTCTCTAGAATTGGGCAGCACTTCATTATCTCAAGAAAGCAATAGCGACTCTCTTCGGTTGAAGGGGGGTATTTATAGAGCCCCCCTAACGGTCACTACATGTGGCGCTCCCGCACTGGCCACACAAATGGCCACCACTCCAGGGCCCATTGGGCTGGCACCGGTTCAGAAGGTGGGCCAGGCCCACTTTCACCAGTACCAGTCCATCTCCAAAGTGACAGTAGTCAACGTCCATGACGGCCAAACATCAACGGCCACACCGAGAGAGCTCGCCTACATCGGCCTCAACACAAAGATAACTTCAAAAGGGTAGGTCACACCACAGGGCGTGCCCATATCGACCCAAACAAGAATACCAATAGCATGGCCCTTTCGACGACCACAACAGCAAGGCAAAAAGCAACCCCACAACCAATGGCCTTGTACAAAACCCTGATGATAATTTCTTGAAAGAGACCTGCGTCCAAGGGTTCTCCCACACGGTTACCTTGGTCAGGAAATCGCCAAGGAGTTGGATTCAGGGGGATACAAGGATCCCGCTTCGGCCTAGGGGAATCCTTTACTCCTTCACCCCTCACTTACTCTTCGGCCTGAAGCAGTGGGGGAGTGGGGGACTACACCGGCCTTTGGAAACCAAGAGGACAAAATCAAAGAAATCCAAAAATATACTAAGTCCACAACTACAACATCAGATCATATATGCACCACAGCGTCCATAACCTCGTGGTGCACCAATCGGCCGCAGCTAAGTCAGCAAACAAAGAATTCCCTCCTAAGATCACAGGGCACTCAACGGCTTTGAGACCGCATACTCCACTCTCGGCCAGGAATTAAGACAGGAACTCAACGTCCTCAGATCACCATCGTCCATGAAACCAGGATACGCAGTACTCCTCCCGGATCGGTGGCGTTATCGTCCTCAAAACATAGACACCAAGCTACGAATACCACCACTCCTCGGCCAAAAGCACAAAATGAGAACTACGACGGCCAAAGAAAGCAAACAACGCCCTCACCGGCCACCCGGAAACGAAAGGACACCCATCGTCCCCAAATCAGGAGATAACCACAACAGTCTCCTCGGCCCAGAGTACGAAATTCAACCATCAGCGGTCAGGAGCAGGGAAGCACCGTTTTCATCGGCCACTCACGCAAGAGAATGCTCATCGTCTTCACCAAGTAAAGGCACTCGTCGTCCCCAACAGGAAACAACATCATCCGCATGGCTAGGGCCCTCTCTGTCCACAGCGAGGGCCACATAACGGCCATAACGCAGAACACCCGTAACGGCGATAATCAAGGACCAAAGCTAAGGGTGCCCGTAACGGCCAAGACTCCATAGCGGTCCCACAATGGCCAGGAAACGTCAACGTCAGGGAATCTACTCTCCTTCACTTCGTCTACATCTTAGCTCAGAGAGTGGGGGACACCTGATGGAGTATATGGGCCTGGACCCTAGGGCCCACATACTCAGGAGAACAGAAGGTACCACGATCCCCTGGTGGGACCCTCGTCGGCCAGATGACCCCCATCGGCTAGAAATAAGTCTGCTCAGAATGTGATCCAGAAGCCAGGAGAACCGGGTGACCTCGTCGGCCGGGTCTTTGTCGGCCTGCCCTCATCGGCCACAGATAGCCGCCAGAATATAATTGTATACTTAATCATTTCTGAACACTTTGTATCCGGCCCATTAGTGGCCCTATTGTAAATGGGCCTCCGAAGCCCAAGACTTGGGAGCCCAGTCCTAATTTTCTCTATAAATACCCCCCTTGGGAGTAGTTATGGGGGTTCACAAAAATCATTAATACATCAATTATAGCACTTCGCTCTCTAGCTCTCCCTTTTCTCTAGACTTATAGTCTATCAGTTTCTTTTGCTTGGTCATTCGAGTGAAATTTTCTTTTCTCCCATCGATAGCAATTACTCCAAACTAGATAGTGGATAATACATAGAAGCTGTGAAAAAGTTTTGCTTGATCTAGTGACAGATATTGCTTTTGTTAGACAGGCATGCGCCTAGGGATGAGCACAGGTAGATTTTGGTCCACTTAGTTCAGACAAAGTTCGATTTAGGCTAGGGGCAGCTACACATATGTGGAGGGCTTCATTGTTAGGGACCAATAGACTAACACTTTTACTATACATAAGTTTTTGGTATAAGTAATGTAGTTAAAAATAACATACATCCCAATTATGTAGGATTATGCATAGTTTGATGTTCTATATTTTATTTTGGCTCCTTTTTACTGACAATGGTTCATCAAAATCTGCTCTATGAAACAAAGTAAAAAATGTTTCACTTCAAAGACTTTCTAGTATAGTGAGAGTGATTTGAATGTATGAAGTTGTTAGAAGTATTCTATTTTATTGTAATAGAGTTTATCCAATTTGACAATCTTTTTTATCTGGAACATGGAGAGTTGATCTTCTCAATCTTCACTGTGTGGTTCATTCTTTTCATCCTTTTCATTCTAAAAAACAAAACAGTAATATTATGCTCTATTGCGAGTCTAAAAGTATAAAAAATAGGATATCACACTATTCTTGCATATTGAAAAATGACTCAATATCACTTAATCCTATTGGCATTGAGTTCTTTCATATTGGTATTGATCCATGTATTTATTGATTTTTAACTTTGTGCAGGTTTATACTAGTTAAGTGCTTCATTTTACACTACTAGAAAAATGCTTAATTGCTGCGGTTGTTTTTGAGTAATTGTTGCGGTTCGTAACCGTACCAATTGGAGGAGCAGCAAAATAGGGATTTGGTTATTTGCTGCAGTTCACAATCGCAGCAAATAGGCATTTATAATTTTTTGAAATACTTTATACGGCGGTTGTTAGTCAACCGCAGCAAATACCCCTTCCAAATTTAACATATTGAACCACTATATGCACGTAGTATGATACAAATAGCTTCTGCTCATGTTCTCATCATTTCTCCAAAGAAATTACAAATCTTTCTTACGTATTTAATAAATACCCAACAAAGTTACTTTTTGAGTATCACAAAAATATTATTCACATCCAATACAACAAAAATTTAATCTTAGATTACATCCTATATGTATTGATAGACTATAAGTTTAGAGAGAAGGGAAAGCTAGAGAGAGAAGTTCTATATTTGGTGTGTATTAATGAATTTTGTGAACCCTTACAACTACTCCCAAAGGGAGTATTTATAGGAAAAATTAGGGCTGGGCTCCCAAGTCTTGGGCTTGGGAGGCCCATTTACAATAGGGCCACTATTGGACCGAGTACAAGAGATGTAGAAATAATTAAGTATAAGATCCTATTCTGGGGGCCGCTCGTGGCCGATGAGGGCACGGCCGACGAGGGCATGGCCGACAAAGACCCGGCCGACGAGGTCACCCGGTTCTCCTGGCTCCTGGACCGTATTCTGAGTAGACTTCTTTCTGGTCGATGAAGGTCCTCTGGCCGACGAGGGTCCCACCAGATGGTCGTGGTACCTTCTGTTCTTCCGAGTATGTGGGTCATGGGGTCCAGACCCATATACTCCATCATGTATAGTATGGAGTTTACAAAATTTAATCAAAGAATACGATTCAATCTTAAAATACAAGCCATATTTGTTAGCTACTTCCATATTTCCTTGGCGTTTCTTCTCTGCATGTTTTTAGCTGCTTCCATATTTCCTGGAAGAAATGAAGATCAAACAAACATTATAAAAAATGGGTTGTTTTTTACCTTTATAAAAAACTAAAAACATGCAATGTACATATAATCAATAAATTTAAGGACCTCCGTCAACCAAAAAACAGAGTGTGTGTCTCAGATTTAACACAAATAAAAATACAGATTTAATTACCCAAAATTGAACTAATCACTTAAAATTCAACCGAGTAACTATAAACTAATAATAACTTAAAAATAGGCAGAACCGTGTCATCAGCAAAGAAACTAAATCAGTATTCAACAACATCCAACAACTTAATTAATTAAGAAATGAACTAATCTCGACATCAACAAGGGCTCAAGGCAGAACAAATCAACCTAAAACAATCAACGATTAGGATTTATGAATATGACTGTATGAACTAATTAACAAATCAACCTAGCATTTATCAACAAGTATGAGTATGAAGTAATCGATAAAAGTGTTAAAGAGGTGTACTATAACTCCCAGAAGTTGAGAAGGCCGAAAGGGCAAAAGTGCAGAACCGCAAAAGAGGCATCTTAAGGGGCAAATCTTCCTGAAAATGGATATATTGAAACGTTCAAAGTGTTCACAAGTCACAAATATAAAAAAAGTTTCTGATCACACACACATGGATAGTTTCACACAAAAAATGGCATAATTTGTAAAACCTTAGGTACTATTCTCAAACAACTTTGCATTTGATGAAGTGAAAACAACTGTAACAGCCTCAATACCTTCATCAACTGGCTTCATTGACTGAATAAATGATTAACTGAAGCCTATTCTTTGATTTAGGACTTGAAATTTCTGTCCGGTACCAATCAATCTACAGTCCCTGCAATTAGATATGGGATATCAGAAAAATGTGATGCTTTTTCAAACTGTAATTTCACACTTCAAATTTTGTTTCTTGCTCCCAAATTTTGAAATGGCGAGTGATGAAAATAGGCTCAATGAAGAATTAGTTTGTGTGTGTGTGTCACGTATAAAGGAGAGATATGATAAACTTGAGAAGCTAATAATCATAATTACATAGGAGATGTAGATGAGAGAATACTATTTGGCAAAATACCAGTTTCCATGTCAAAAATCAGTTCTAAGCATATTAATCATAACCTTATCTACATATGGACCTAATGTTGTTCATCCTCCATTCCAATACATGATTTTTTTTTGAAGAAAACGATTTTATTGAAAAATAATGTAAAAAGTACAGTGCATAAAGAGAATAAAAGAAAAAATACAGAAAGGGGAAAAAAACACATAAAAGACAAAAGAAACTAGCCCCAAGGAAAATCTCTGGATTGGGATCTGGTCGTCATGCTGTGACGTTGTTTGTTCTTCTGAGATTTCCTGTAGATTTTGAGTTGTGTGTTAAGATTTTCTGTTGGCCATTAGTTGTCTGAGTTGACAAACCTTGATTTGCGGCAAATCGATCGATTCACTTTTGACTTCTTAATTTCTTCCCGGTTAGATAAAGGGGGTCGACGATCGGTTTCAGATGCATGCCCTAGAAAATCGTCTGAAAAGAAGGATTCATCAGAATGATCAAAGTCATCTGATGCATCAGAGTGTGTTTTGTGGTTGTTTCTCAAATAAGAGGGGTTGTTGCTTTCTGACAAAGGCTCTCTGAACTTCATAGTTAATCCAATACATAATGTGTCTATTAAATTATTATTTCTAAGATTGCTAAGGTAAAGAATGGCAACAGCAACAAAGACTATAAACCGCATACTACTTCTTCCCTTGTTTAGATAACCTCATGTTGGCCAAAAGGAAAATACAAAATCAAAAATGTCACCGAGTTTAGAAAATTAGCAAAAGATGCACACAACATGTCAGCATCCTCCTTTGTTCCTTTCATATTCACGACACTTGTAAGTTGAGCATACAGTAGCAAGTACGAAATTATGAAGTAAAACATACTACACGCATAAACAACGACATCTTAAATCTTTTCGGGGGCCAAAAAATTGGAATGTACTAACATTAGCAAAGTATTTATTAACTTTTGATAAAAGTGTATTCATGTCCAATAAAAATATCTCAAAGAGAAAACACAAACAACATAAAAGATTAAAAACCAACAAACTATTAGTAAAAATTTAAAACTATGTTGGTGGCAGTGTCATTATTTCACCTCTTTGAACTGTGTTGGCCGGGCCGAAACTTGACTCCTTCGAAAGAGAAATAGCTCAGCAAAATCAGGCACGAATGGTAGCATAAGAGGAAAACCACCCTCTATTCTTGAAAATCACAGATTTACAGTCAAAAGTGAAAAGAAACTAACTCGAACTTATCATGTTTTCTACGAATTTCAAAGAAATACACAACACTGGAACCGTAAAGAACAAGTGCAGCTAGTCTAAGGGAAAAAATATTCAAAATAATATTGAGAATTTACCTAGAGCAGCAAACCTGGAGCAGCAAGTCATGTGTGAGCGTTAATGGAGAGAATAACGTCTTCATCCTGGAGCGGCACACAGCGGTCTTCGTCTTCTTCGAAGTCGTCCGGAGCAATAGCAGTTGCGGCGTCTTCATCGAAGTCGTCAGGAGCAGCACGGCGGCGGCGCCTCCATCGAAATCGTGACACGGCAGGGTTGCCAGCCAAGGGAGTGCAAAGATGCTGTAGGGTAAGTACTTGACCCGGTCAGGTACTAAACTTCCATTTTTAGAACTTCCATTTTTATAGCATGTTTAGTCTCCAAATGAGGAGCTAAACTTCCATTTCTTGGTGTTGCTCTTGAAGCTTGTTGATTATTAAAGTTGTGAGTTATTTTCTTAACTTCTTTCCTTGAATATTAATTAATAGTTCTTTCCTTAATACCATCTCTATATTAATGTTGGGGAGTGTTGCTAAGATGACAATTAGTTAACATCTTGACATTAGTTAGAGTAGTATTATCTTCCTCTATATTAATGTTGGAGAGTGTTGCTAAGATGACAATTAGTTAACATCTTGATATTAATTATAGTAGGATTCATCTTCTTTAATAATATTCTTCCTTGAATATTAATTAATTCCTATTCATATTTCATATTAATATTTTGAACATTACTTAAAGAATCAACTAGTTTTGTTTCATATATTATTACTAGAAATGATCAACGAACCGATGGTTAATCGTTGATGGTTTCACGAGTAAGTAACTTCGGTTTATCAATGCACGGTCGTGGTTGATAAACTTAAGAGGGATTAATTTTGTTGGTTAAACCGAAACCGTTGTGTCGAAGTTATCAATCTCAATCGATTTCATCAAGGAGTTAAAAGATTAAAAGCTACTATCAAGTCGGTATATGGCGGTGTTCTATACTTGACTAATAGTAAGGATTATTAATGAACGGTCGTTGTTAATAACTACCTTCGATGAATTGGATATACTCCGCGATTGAGTATTCGAGAGGAAATAAGTTATAGATATAACAATGATCGACTAAAATATATCAACAAGTGGAAAGTAGCAATGACAAGTCCTTTTTATCTTTGAAATAAATCTCATATAAGTCGTTCATCTTAGTTTTTAATTAAATTAAATCACTCAATCCACATCCCCTCTTTTATTTACTAAGTTTGATAAAAAGAGAATTATTCCTTTCCCTGTGGATACGAACCTTACTTCACTATACTACGTATTAGTGTTGTATTGATAAATTATTTTGAGTGCACCTCACGACAAGTGCACGTCAAATTTGGTGTCGTTGCCGGGGAAAGGCAAATAATTTTTCTTTTTATTCCATTTCAAGAAAAATCAAAAAAATTAAATAAATAAACAAAATATAAAGAGTTCTTAGATTTCTATTCTTCTGAGCTTTATTTGAGTATATGGTTAAACACCGATCTATAAACCAAATCACCTACCAAACAAAGCCTGAAACAGAACAAGCCTTCGAGAGGTTTAGGAATTTATTTCCGAATACTTCTTCGGAGGAATCATCAAGTGCTAGTTCTCATTCTAGCGACACCGAAGAGTCAATCACTATGGATCTTGAAACAAGAACGTTGAGGGAGCTCATGACTCCTAATCTTAACCAACAACCGCTATGTATCACCTTCCATACTCTTGATGAATGTGCTACATTTGAGCTCAAATCGGGGCTCATCCATCTCCTGCCTTCATTCCATGGTCTACGAGGCGAGGACCCAAACAAACATCTATCGGAATTCCATATTGTTTGCACAAGCATGTGCCCAAATGGAGTTACCGAGGAGCAGATCAAGTTGAGGGCCTTTCCGTTCTCCCTAAAAGATACCGCAAAAGATTGGCTATTCTATCTGCCTTCGGGAAGTACAGGTACATGGGCGGCCATGAAGAAAGCTTTCCTCGAAAGGTACTATCCAGCCTCTGTCTCCTCATCTCTCAAAAAGCAAATCAGCAATGTAGAGCAGAAAGATGATGAATCGTTCTACGAATATTGGGAACGATTCAAGAAACTTTGTGCGAGCTGTCCATACCACGGCTATTCGGAGCAAGACCTCATCCTATACTTCTATGATGGTCTTTGCAATGATGATAGGCGGATGATCAATGCCGCATGTGGAGGAGGAATTGTGAACAAACCCCCTTCTCAAGCTAGGAATCTTATCTCAGAGTTGGCCGAGAATTGTAGCTACTATGACCAGTGATGCACACTAATTAGTAGCGCATAATTGCATGTTTTTATGTTTGATTTATGTTGATTGTTTGACGTTTTATTTAGTTTGTAAACATTTATGTGATTTCAGTTGTAATTGTATTTTAGTCTTTATTTATAAGTTGTAAAGTATAGTTAGGATTTGTGGTGTTGGAAAGGAAGACTTTCAAGAGAAGAAAACAAGAAATTTGACTGCCCAGGAGTAAAACCCGACCGGGTAGAAACCCCCACCCGGTCGGGTATGATTTAACAGACGAAATTGCCATGAAAGTCATTGGACCCAGTCGGGTCCCCTACTTGACCCGGTCGGGTAAGATGTGACCCGGGACAAAACGACGTGCAAAGATCACCAGAACATGGTGAATTATCTGATTTTGACCGGACCCGGTCGGGTAAGTACTTGACCCGGTCGGGTACCCGGCCAAAGGTGTTGAAAAACACCTATAAATAGCACTCTTTTTCTTCTCTAAAAAGCATTCTTTCTTCCATACTCTTAAGCTCAGTTTAGAATAACATTTCTTTATATTTTTCTAGCTATGTTTAGTCTCCAAATGAGGAGCTAAACTTCCATTCTTGGTGTTGCTCTTGAAGCTTGTTGATTATTAAAGTTGTGAGTTATTTTCTTAACTTCTTTCCTTGAATATTAATTAATAGTTCTTTCCTTAATACCATCTCTATATTAATGTTGGGGAGTGTTGCTAAGATGACAATTAGTTAACATCTCGACATTAGTTAGAATAGTATTTTCTTTCTCTATGTTAATGTTGGGGAGTGTTGCTAAGATGACAATTAGTTAACATCTTGATATTAATTATAGTAGGATTCATCTTCTTTAATAATATTCTTCCTTGAATATTAATTAATTCCTACTCATATTTCATATTAATATTTTGAACATCACTTAAAGGATCAACTAGTTTTGTTTCATATATTAATTATTACTAGAAACGATCGACGAACCGATGGTTAATCGTTGATGGTTTCACAAGTAAGTAATTTCGGTTTATTAATGCACGGTCGTGGTTAATAAACTTAAGAGTGATTAATTTTGTTGGTTAAACCGAAACCGTTGTGTTGAGGTTATCAATCTCAATTGATTTCATCAAGGAGTTAGAAAGATTAAATGCTACTATTAAATCGGTATAAGGCGTTGTTCTATATTTGATTAATAGTAAGGGTTATTAATGAACGGTTGTTGTTAATAACTACCCTCGATGAAGTGGATATACTCCCCGATTGAGTATTCGAGAGGGAATAAGTTATAGATATAACCATGATCGACTAAAATATATCAACAAGTGGAAATTAACAATGCCAAGTCCTTTTTATCTTTGAATTAAACACATATATGTTGTTCATCTTAGTTCTTAATTAAATTAAATCATTCAAACCCAAAAACCCCCTTTTTATTCATTAAAGTTCATAAAAAGAGAATTATTTCCTTTCCCAGTGGATACGAACTCTACTACGCTATACTACGTATTAGCACTAGTATTGTATTTATTTTGACGCACCGTGACAAAGTGCTCGTCAACTAGCGGTCATCAAAAAGAGTTATGGCGGCAGAATCTAACACCTCGTTGGAAAGTCAAGTGGCCGGCTTGACTTCTTTGGTTAAAGATTTTCTCTTAAATCCAAAAACAAAAGAAGTCAAGGTCTGCGACATATGTTCAACACAAGGGCATCCCACCGATTCTTGCCCAACACTACAAGAGGAGAACCCCGCACAAATCAACGCATTGGGGTTCCAAGGTCAAAGGAGGTACGATCCGCATGGCAACACATACAACCTAGGATGGAGAGATCATCCAAATTTAAGGTATGGAAATCCTCAACAACCAAATTCTTCTTCCCAACAATACAACCAGCCCTCCCAAGGCCAAACTTCAAGCTCGAATATGTCCACTGAAGACATGATTCGAGCACTTACCATGAGTGTATCAACGATACAACAAAGTGTGGCCCAATTTCAAGAAACGACTAAATCTGGCATTCAAAATTTGGAGAACCAAATGAGCCAAATTTCGAGTGCTGTGAGCCGGCTCGAGGTAAAAGACTCAGGTAGACTCCCCTCTCAAACGGAGCAAAACCCAAGACAACATGTTAATGCAATCATGTTGAGGAGTGGGACGACATTGAAAGAGGTGCATAGGGAAGAAGAGCAAGATAAAAATGAGGTTGAAGAAGATTTTCAATCGGAAGAGAGGACCATAAAAGCAAAGTTTCCACCATTGTCCTCATATGAACCACTACCCCCATTCCCCGAAGCACTGAAGGAAATAAGGAAGCTGGAGAAAGATGCTGACATATATGAGACTTTCGCCAAATGTGAGGTAAACATTCTGCTCCTTAACTTAATCAAAAGTGTTCCCCGTTTTGCTAAATTTTAAAAGAATTATGCACAATTAAAAGAAAAAGCAAATTAAAGGGAAAACAAAAGGTGGAGGTTAGTGAACGTGTCTCGGTGATCTTTCAAAAGAAACTCCCCGAGAAATGTAACGATCCCGGCATGTTCACAATCCCATGCAAAATAGGGGACACTTTATTTACGAGGGCCTTGTTGGATTTAGGGGATTCGATCAATGTCATTCCATATTCGTTATACAAGTCTCTAAAACTTGGCCCAATGAATGAAACTGGTGTGGTAATCCAATTGGCGGATAGGTCTAACACATACCCCAAGGGCGTCGTAGAGGACGTACTCGTAAAAGTTGAAAATCTGATTTTCCCTGTTGACCTCTACGTCCTTGAAATAGGATATGATAATCAAACAACACCCATCCTCTTGGGTAGACCTTTTCTAAAAACCGCAAAAAAAAAATAGACGTGTCTAATGGTTCGTTAACTTTAGAGTTTGATGATCAAAAGGTAGAATTCAACATTTTTGATTCTACGAAAAAACAAATTAAAGACCAATCTCTTTGTTCTCTAAATGTTTTTGAACCACAAACCCCGAATATTTTTTGTTGAGAAAAAAGCTGAGAAAATCACACTTTTTGAAAAAGAAGAATTGTTCAA